ATAATAATGTATAGTTTTAAACACGATAATTCGTCTACAAAACAAATGGTTCTGAATCGTTCTAAACAAATGGTATCGCGATTATAATATTCCTAGCCCTTTGAAAAAATTAATTAGTCAAACGGACCATATTTTATATAAAAATTCGTAATAAAACAATCAAACTAAACATCTTTACGTAGAATTGTTTCATTGATACCTTTAACCAAGGATTTAAGCTTTTGAAATGAAATCTCATAATATCCTGCAATAAAAATAATCTTGTATTTATCTTAATCATAAACAGTGATTACCAGTTACATAATATACTGAAATAAGTTTTTATTCGTGTGTCAAATTATTTTCCCTAATATTATCAGTCTAGTATGCAGCAAAAAATGTTGTTCGGCAATAATTTACAGTACGTCGTAAATATAAAATGCCAATATTCTCAAGGTTCAGGATGATCTGAAAAGATTTTTCATCTGCTTCAAATAGTTTAATGAAATTAAGCATGGCACGTTGTACGTCCTTTATCCGCTCTTCGCGCTGATTGGGGGATCTGTAATGTCATTAGGTCGCGGTTTTCGACTGGCCATTGTACAGTTTCGCCATCGGAGGTCGGCGCAACCGGCGAAGATTAGTAAGATTAACCAAGATCCTCCTCTTCCGTGGCTTTCTACGCTCACAGAAAGACGTAAGTCCCACAAAGGAGCGCGATTCGTGGCCACCTCTCTGATGCAAGGATTCCCCTAACGTTCGGGACAAACCAGTCTATCTCGCGGGACAACTTTATATTCCTGCTGCGTATTCACCCCCTTCCTCCCTCTCTGTTGCTCCCCTGTTGAGTTTAATTACATCTTATCTGTACACTTCCTACAAAGATTTTGCTGGTGTTTTCTTTCGGACGAACAACCACAATTTAATTTATTAAACTTTCATTCAGTTGTGCATCATATTGGTATCCGTAAGTATCTGGCAACCATTGCGAATATTTGATTTCAGAGAAAAAGAAACTCTTCGATGGTCGTGAAAGTATCTGTACAGTGAAAACGAGAAAACAAGAATATCGTTTTTGAATGTATTGATAATACAAAATTAATAGAGAATTAGTATCAGATAAGTTACTGAACACTTTTCACTCCCAATTAATTTGGATATGAAAGTTTCTTATGCATTTAAATTAAAATATAAAAGATGTTAATGTGGAGATGTACTATAATTCAATAGAAAGAATTTTTGAAAAATACTAAATTATTTTGTTACAATATAAATTATTATGGATAAATTTTATAGTTTATAATACAAGTTCTCCAATTTCAAATGTAGTCGTATTTAGACCCTGCTTCAATGTTTTGATCTTAGGATCAATTGTCGTAACTTCAAGGAGCTTAAATATACATAGTTTTTGCTTAGTATTGTGGTATAGTCCACAGTAGACTGAATTGGTTTATCGAATCGTAAATTTGATAGCACAGGATCGAATGAAGAAAATAGATTGTTTTTGTAGCATTTTCTTGAAAGCTTTAACTGTAATGTAAAGCATAAAGGGATTATTAACAGATTCGACTCCCTCCCGTGAACTTTCTAAATTTAATAGACGAATGTATCAGTTACTGACAAAGTATTTTAAATGTGAAATTAATTCTATGTCCTTTTAAACGAAATTCAAATTTTATTTATTAATCATATTTTTATGTATAAATCTCATTTTAACTGTTGCAGTTCTATGATTTCAGACATCTTCTGCTAGTTGTACCAAGGATCGTCACTCAAGTCGAAGTTTCTTTGTCTAATCAACGTTCATCACTAGTGGGTTATAATTACTTTAGAAATTATTGATAATAATAATAAATAAAGCAATAGAGAAGTTATGTCGTAAGAGTAAATCTGACACATTTATATGACGACTTATCATCGAACATACAAATATACGCGTCGAGTCGAACATTGAAAATTGCAGCGTTTTCTCTTAAGACCCGTTCGTATCATTCTAGCGACGTCAACAATATTTTTCATGACACGAATGAAAACAGAATACTATATTTAATATACGTCTTATCAGTAATTATCCTAAACGCAACTATTTTTTGTGATTATATTTATCAGTTAGTAAAGGAAAATGATATTACGTAAACAATAATGATAATTCTTTGAAATTATTATACAGAAGAAAAATATTTTAATCTAAACTTAGTTATTAGAAGCAGGTGCTCTTATATTTAAAGGTATTACATTGAATGGATTAACCAATAAAGAATAATTTTCTAATGAACATAAAACTTATAATTTCAGTAAAAATAAAAATTCATTAAATGTCAAGAATTTCAATTTAATACTAATTCATTCAATATTATTTAATATTTACTGTTCCATATAATTAATTATTAACGAATTAATTTATGAAAAATATATTCATAAAAATTATTAATCACTTTATTTTCAGATTAAAGTTAAACATGATACATACATATATCTTAAAGCAATTGGAGAGCTTGATAACTTTTAACGTGTTTAATAATATATTGAAATATTTAATCTAAATGTATAAATTAAATATCAGTAATAAAAAATTTCGTAAAATCACTATTCTAAAGTTTTACTCAAATTTAAAATCCTTCCTTATATAGGTTACAGTGACTTTCAAAACATTGGTTACATAATTTAAATGGTGGATCCCCTAATTATTTTAAGATATCAGTTACGAGAGCATGTTACGACATTCTGACGCGTATGATAAGAATTGATAAATTCATTTATCAATGAACAATGATTAGGTCAGTAAACGTATGATCGCAATTTACTGTCAACAACTTACCACTGAGTTCCTTTTATATACAGTTAAATAAATGCTTCTATTTGTACAAGAAGAAATAATACGCTTGTAAATAAATGTAAATAAACGTTCTATACAGAAAAAGATGATAATTTATTTAACATAAAGTTAAGAACAAATACTAGATACTGTCTTTATTAATGGACAAATGATTTATTTTAACCTACAGTCGTGTTCAGAAATTATTGTCTGTACAAATGTCTTTTTTCTAACTTATTATTCGTCTAACATGTTATTTCACGAAAAATAAAACACATCTAAAAAATACTTTTACATAATATTTACATATACCTTTAAAGATTAATTGTTTAGCCCCAAGAAATGCAATACTTCATATAGGATACGTTACAATTTTTCATACAAATTTGTGTAAACCTATTAGTGTGTGAATACGTTTCCATCACAACCAAAGTTGCGTCTAAAATAAGAAGGCTCTTACGAAATGTGGTGGAATACGAAAATGGATCGTAAAGGGAAAAACTGTCACACATAGAGTTCTACTCGTGGCCGTCACTGCAGTAAGGTAACATATATCAATATTAAGGGTAATTTTTCAATCTTATTGAAATTATTGATCAATAATCTTTGAATAATAATTGATAGCGCAACTTTCAAAATAACACACCGATAATCCATATTTTTCTCATCAAATTTCTATTTTTCTCACAAATTATTCTTTAAAAATAGATAACGAATTTCTCGCAATACCTATTTTATAAATCAACAATGAGGCATTATCTGTTTCATGAATGTGGTACAACGTGCAGATACGATAACAACGTGCCACTTGGAAATTCGTTACAAATACTTTTCATGTCAAAGTTTATCGATTGGAGTTTCGACATATGAAAATATCTTGTTTACAGACTGTGGTTTCTTACCCCCCATGAAGATTTTCTTTCTCGTTAGTTCCGAGAGAATCGTCGCGTCGAACATATAGCACAAGTAATGCAAGCTCTTAAGTAAGACAAATATTTCCATTAATATATTTCATTAAAATCGTTGTTTTTTTTAAGTTATTTATCTTCATAATATGACTGGGTATAACAATTTGTTTCATTGTTTGAATCTCAAATATGAAAAAGAAATAAAAAGAAAAATATTGATGATGAAAATGAATCATTATAAAACTTTGTAAATATGTTTAAAGAGTAAATATTTATTAATGTACAATATCAAAGAATTTTATAAAGAATCGTGTAAGATGAAATTAAGGAGAAGAAACATGTAATGTATAAAGAATAAATTTCTTAAAAATTGAGAGCTTCCAAGATACAAGATCAAATGAGAGAGAACAAAATACAAAGTCGAAGCATACATTTCGCGTATCCTAGAGACGTTTACATCAGTTTTCCATGTGTAAATAATCCACACGACCTTATCTGACACATACACTCCTGCTCAAAAGTCATGAAAGATTTATAATTATCAAAGTAACATTTTTAAAAAATTCGATTTCACAAAGACTAATTTTTTTAATATCTTATACATTTAGTACACTATAAATTATATTGATCATATTCATATCATACATCGCTTATATTAATACAATTAATTTACACGTACTTTATTATGTGTTTTGGGTGCTGCTTTCATTAATTTTTGGCATCCAAGCAATTAATATGTCTACAGTATTCATATTAAGATTTTTGTACAATAAAATAAAACTTTCCTTTTTGTACAATATTCTGTAATTCTAATCATAATCTTTGACATTTTTATGTAACTTATAGCTCTAATCCGTCCCAATAATTTTGTTAATGATTTAAAATTGTGTGTCCGTGGTGATCAATTTATTTATTTAATTTCTCTGGTACTTTCTATTCTCTCTAAATAATTTCTTCGAATTTAAATTATATATTTAATTATCAAGTCGCTATTGTATTTAAGTAAGTCACAAATTACGTAAGTAAAGGTTCCTTTAAATGAGTCAGTATCCTACTACTTTTGAATGGGAGTGTACATGGTTTATACTCAATCGCTAGTAAACCGGTAGTCTACAGTAAAACAGTTCACTCAACAATCACCAGTCTTCCAGTGAATCTCTGTCGTATACATAAACGGAATTTGTCAATCCGTTGATTTCTAAACAATAATTGAGTTCAAAGACTTACACGTTAATTAAAAAACTTAAATTATAAACAATAGTGATTTTCTGAGTGGTTACAGATTGTATAAAAGAATTATGTCGACTGATGTGCGAGGAGTGGTGCTATCTGGAACCGAACTTGCGACGTAAGTTATATTATGTTTCTAGCTATAGATATAAGAAGTTTAAATTCAGGTATAATTATTTTTTTTTCATTGAAATCAATCGATAGTTTTGGTATAGACTCTTACAATTAAAACATACTTAAACTTCCTGCATGCACTGTGCACCATGTGACTTTCTGCCGATTGTTCTGAAATACCGACACTGTGAAACAAACTCTCATACACTAGCGGACTCTACCTGGAGAGAACGGTTAGCTACTGAACTAAATACAACTGCAACATAAAATGTACATCTTTAAGAGACTAATTTTCCAATATTATCAGCCTCAAAAAAATCAATGTTGTCGGATCTAAAGATCCCTCCAGATCGACAAAATTTGAATTATAGATTTCAATTAAAATTAAAACGTGAATCGTTAATTATTCCATTAAAAACATTTTTAAATTATCTATTTCAGATATAAATGTAACTTCAATTTGCATTAATATAATACCCAAATACTTAATTAACAAGAAAAAAAGAAAAAAATATTACACTATATTAAATATTTATAACAATCTCATAGTATATCATAGTATTTTATAGTAACACATTAAACAGAAAAGGATGTATGTTTATAAGTTAGAGATTGTTATTTCAGTTGTATTTAAGTACAGATGTAAAGTATAATCTACGTATAGCAAATGTATATTGAAATACATAATTCATGTATTAAAAACAGATTTTGATTTCCTTAAAATACTTTGCACAACCATTGATATAAATAAATAAAAACAAAAGTAAAATGATACCAGAAAATTATGTACATTTCCAGAAAAAAAATCTGCATTTAAATTGAATTGTAATTTAAAACTAAGAGCGTTTTTGTTATTACCTAATAGAAGCAATAATTCGGCCATTTCAACTCCAAATACAACATAATATAATACAGATTTCATTTTTACAATATTAAAGTACAAAAACACAAATTATTATGTACACAGTTCGACTTTAATAATGCTTTAATTTCTTTATTATAATTTTTCATTATACTCTTAATAATAATTCTTTTGCTTTTTACGGTCTCACTCTGTTGTTTAGCGGAAATAAAAATACTTTTCAATGATAGTTTCATTATTACATAATTCACAATTCAATTTATTCTAAAAACAGAAATATATAACTTCACTTCTTAGTAAATCTAATTATCTTAATGAATTCGTAGGGAAATACGTAAAAATCTAGCAAAAGATGTACAATCGATGAAACTAAAACTGCCGAGTTTTACACCTGGCTTAGCTATCGTACAAGTTGGCGGCCGGGAAGATTCAAACGTTTATATCAGAATGAAAATAAAAGCGGCGGGCGATATCGGAATCACTGCAGATCACGTTAAACTTCCAAATACTACAACGGAACTAGAATTAATAAACAAAGTAAATAAATTAAACAATGATCCAAATATTCATGGAATAATTGTGCAAATGCCTCTTGATACTGTGAACAAAATTGACAGCCATATGATTACCGATTTAGTCTCCCCTGAAAAAGACGTGGACGGGTAAGTGTCGTGGAATTTTCCATAATAATTATATTATTTCTAATTTCAATTTTTATAAATTTTGTAACAAATATTTGTTGTTTACGTATTACACCAATATATCACTGTACTTACGTAAGTGAATGTAAAAATAAATTAAAGACGTCAATCACTGATTACGTTCGAATACAAGTTCCATATTTCTTTGTAATAAACGCTGAATACGAATTTCATTTTTTTCAGATTAAACACGATTAATGAAGGAAAAGTTGCAATTGGTGATATGACGGGATTTTTACCGTGTACTCCAAATGGATGCATTGAACTTATCAAAAAGTACGCTAAAAGTGTTTTTATTCATTTTAAATAACATGTGAATATTTTTAACATAGTATTTTGAAAGTAATTTTAATAACTGAACAAATATTCATCCTTTTTACTCTTTAAACGTTTCAGCATTTATATTAATAAAAAATTAAATTACAAATAGAAATAAACAGAGATAAATACTTTTTATAACGTGTCTGTTATGTAAATAATTAAATAAACAATTAATTTTTACAATAATGTGCGCTAGGAGTGGTGTCCCAATCGCTGGCGCTAAGGCTGTAGTTTTAGGTAGAAGTAAAATCGTCGGTACACCTGTAGCAGAATTATTAAAATGGAACAACGCCACTGTAACAGTGTGTCACTCGAAAACGAAGAATCTACCGGAAGTTGTAAGTGGCTACCTTTGTTTTCTTCAAAAATAAAATTTCGATAAAATAATTTTAACTACATCTATATTAAAGGTTCATTTTGATTATAGGTTTCGCAGGCTGATATCGTAGTTGTTGCAATTGGCCAGCCACAAATGGTCAAGGGAACCTGGATTAAACCTGGTGCAGTCGTAATCGATTGCGGAATAAATTCCATTCCAGGTAAATATAATTTAATATGTAATATTAACACTCAAAACTTTACTAATATCATCACTTCCACATAAACGTAATGTGAAATTAAATTTGAGATGCAGCTTTTGTCCATTATAAAATAGCAAACAAATTTTACATGATATACAAAAAAACTGTGTTTTAGTGAATCATATGATACCGCTGCGTAAAATACTTATTAACACTAAGTGCTTAAGAACAGTAGTCAAATGTCATTTATCATATTTATGGAACTTGACCAATCGTGGTTTGACTTCCGTAAGGTTGACCCCAAGTTTCGAAATATCACATGAAAAGAGGGAACGAGATCAAATGAGCCAGCAGACTCTTTAGTTATGATGCAACTGCATCTTAGAACGAATATTACACGTGAATTATCATGTTCAAACTTTTTCTTTTTATTTCACTGAAATTATAGATATAACTATCGTGTGCCTCAATATCGCCATACATGTATATTAATTAAATACGAATAATACACATATGCATAGAAATATAGTATATAGTATATACGTATATATTCAGTTTTATTAAAATTAATTTTTAAATAACAACATAATACACAAGTATTTTACTAATATAAAGAAAATTATTCTTTCCACTGTTAATATTTTAGTAAAATCCTAAGGCAAATATTACAATATATGAAATTATTTTAGATGCGACTAAGAAATCTGGACAACGTTTAGTAGGAGATGTTGATTACGAAGAAGCCGCGAAAGTAGCATCGTATATCACCCCAGTACCCGGCGGGGTAGGCCCGATGACCGTGGCTATGTTGATGAAAAATACGGTAGTATCTGCTCAAAGAGCAGTGGAGAGAATTTTAAGCACCAATTGGAAACTTAATATCTTAAAGATCAACCCACAAACTCCGGTTCCCAGCGATATAGCAATTTCAAGGAGCCAAGAACCAAAACCAATCACAATTCTAGCGGAAGAGATTGGACTACTCCAGAACGAGATCAGTCCTTATGGAAGTAAAAAGGCAAAGATTAGTTTGAACGTCCTGAAGAGATTGAAGGATCAGCAGAGTGGAAAACTTGTAGTTGTTGCTGGTATTACACCAACACCTTTTGGAGAAGGCAAAAGTACTACATCACTAGGTTTGGTACAAGCTTTGACTGCGCATAAGGGAAAGAACTCATTTGTTACCTTAAGACAACCAAGTCAAGGTCCTACATTTGGTGTAAAAGGAGGAGCTGCAGGCGGAGGATACTCACAGGTTCGTAGAAATAGAACTAACTTCATTTATTTCTTTATTATTGAAATTATATGTGGAAAAACTTTATAATTAATATATTTCCAGGTTATCCCCATGGAAGAATTCAACTTGCATTTAACCGGAGATATACATGCCGTTACAGCAGCCAATAATCTGTTAGCGGCACAAATCGACGCCCGATATTTCCATGAATCAACTCAAACTGACAAAGCTCTTTACGACCGACTTGTACCATCAATTAAAGGTGTAAGGAAATTTTCGAAAATACAATTACGACGCCTACAAAAACTTGGCATTACGAAAACCGATCCTAATAGTTTAACAGAAGAGGAAGCTAAAAGATTCGCAAGATTAGACATCGATCCACAGAATATTCCTTTCAATCGAGGTATTGGAAACAGATTTATAATAAGTATTAATATAAAATTTATTCTTGATTTAATTGATAAATATTTTCTGTTACAAATAATACTTTCTAGTAAAATCAAAACCAATAGACTTACTGAAGGTCGCATATCTTTTTAAATGTCCAACATTCACCGATCTATAAAATTTAACTTAATTTACAAATGAAATTAATTTTATTTCAGTAATCGATACAAACGATCGATTTTTACGTAAAATTACTATTGGTCAAAGTTCAACTGAAAAAGGAAAAACGCGGGAAACATCTTTCTCTATTTCCGTTGGTTCTGAAGTAATGGCAATACTCGCTCTATCCACCAGTGTCGAAGACATGAAAGAGAGACTTGGTAACATGGTAGTAGCTTTCAGCAAAAATGGAGAACCCTTAACAGCCGAAGATTTTGTTAGTATATTTATATTAAATGTCAAACAATTATAGTAATGTTATCGCATTTTTTACAAGAAAAATTATGTTCAGGGTATGACTGGAGCAATGTCCATTTTACTGAAAGATGCCATTGAACCAACATTGATGCAATCTTTAGAGGGAACTCCAGTTATGGTTCATGCTGGACCGTTTGCAAACATCGCGCACGGATGTTCCTCGATTATTGCAGATGCAATTGCATTAAAATTAGTTGGACCGGAAGGTATCGTGGTAACCGAAGCCGGGTTTGGTTCTGACATAGGTATGGAAAAGTTCTTCAATATTAAATGTCGAACATCTGGACACACACCAAACGCTGTTGTACTCGTTGCAACTGTCAGAGCACTGAAAATGCATGGTGGCGGCCCTCCTGTAACTACGGGTGCTACCTTGAAAAAAGAATATCTTGAAGAAAACCTTGAATTGGTCAAAAAAGGTCTTCCAAATCTTCAAAAGCACATTAGTAACGGAATTAAATTTGGTGTGCCAGTTATTGTTGCTATTAATGTTCACGCGTAAGTTTAAAAAAAAAAGACTAATTTTTATAAGTAAATTTGTTTACTGAGAAATAAATAATTGCATAAAAACTGTTTCAGTACTGACACAAAAGCAGAATTGGAATTGATAAAAGAAGAAGCAATTAGAAGCGGTGCAGCTGATGCAGTAATATGTAATCATTGGTCACAAGGTGGTACTGGTGCTACAGATCTTGCAGATGCAGTTATAGCCGCCACAAATAAATCCAGCGATTTCAAAGTATTATACGACTTGAATATCAGTATCGAAGAGAAGATTAATGTCATTGCAAAAAAAATGTATGGTGCGGGACAAATTGTTCTTGCAGATAAGGTAAATGTCTTACCAACTTACAATATTATAGTGTATATTAGTATATAATATATATGAATATAAATATAATTATTATTGTAGGTACAAACGAAAATTGAGGCATATAATAAATTAGGATACGATAAATTGCCTCTGTGCATGGCAAAAACATCAAACTCTTTAACAGGTGATCCATCAGTTAAAGGCGCTCCTACAGGTTTCTCGCTCAATATTACAGATATTTTTGTATCTGTTGGTGCTGGTTTTGTAGTGCCAATGGTAGGAGATGTAAGTATTTATGTATTAAAATTATTAATTTCCCAAATGTATCAAATACTCAAATGTATAATATTATTTTTCCAGATAATGATGATGCCAGGTCTATCTACCAGACCAAGCATTTATGATATGGACTGGAACAATGAAACAGACGAAATAGAAGGCTTATTTTAAATATTTTTGTTTATATTGGAGACATTCATATTCCTAATGTGTTACAATATTTTATTTTTTCATATTTTACAATTAATTCTGTACATTCAAATTCATTACAAGACACATACCTCTAAAGATTAAAAATATTATTTTGTATTAGAACAAAGAATAATAAAGCCACATATTTATATTTTTCATTTATAAAATAACAAATTATATCACTTTACTGACACCCCTTAATTTCGCAGAACGGGATCTCGGATTTTGTTTTACTTCTTCAGATGTAGGTGTTATTACATGTTTATGTAACATTTTCCATGGTGTTTGTATAATATTTGCGTATTCATTATCTTCATACCATTTACTGCAATCAGTATATTTTAATGCTACTTTGTTAGCAATATTATCTATTATATTCCCAGAAATGTGCCTTTTAATTATTTTGTCTTCTAAAGAATGAAAAGATATTGTTACCAAACGACCTTCTTGTTTTAAGTATGATGCAGCCAGAATAATACCATAATTAATTTCATTCAATTCATTATTCACAAAAATTCTAAGTGCCTGAAATGTTTTTGTAGCACAGTGAGTAAATCTACCAATTTGGTCATATCTTGTATCATGAATAACAGATTCAATTAATTGAGCTAGTTCTTGCGTAGTTTTTAAACTTCTGAAGGTATATCGAGCATCTATGATAGCACGTGCAATTTTTTTTGCTTGCTTTTCTTCACCATAAACTCTTAAGACTTTGATTAAATCTATTTCAGTGATTCTCTCTAAAACATCAGCAGCTGTAGGTTCTTCAGAACACCTAAATCCATCCATCCTCATGTCTAAGGGTCCATTCCGTGATATAGAAAATCCTCTTTCAGGAATATCAAACTGCATTGATGAACAGCCAAAATCGAACAAAAACCCATCTATACTGTTTTTCTTCACTTTATGTTCACAAAGTAATTGTGGTAATTCAGAAAATCTGCCTAATAAAGGTATCACTTGCCCAGGATACTTTTCCAATAATTTATGCGCAAATTCATGTGCGATAGGATCTCTATCCAGTGCATATATTTTCACATCAGGAAAAGTTCTTAAAATTTCCATAGAATGTCCGCCAGCACCAAATGTCATATCTACAATAGTTTTTTTTGGTGCAGGTTCCAAATAAGTTAATACTTGAGGAACCATAACTGGTATATGTGGGATCTTCTCTTCATTCTTATCTACTAATTGACTATATCTTTTTGTATTCATTAAACATTTTACATCACATTGTCCTTGTAATAAACAGTGACTAATTCTATTGTAACGTTTAATATCATAATGTCTGTTTATAGGAATAGCACAAATTTTATACTTTATTTTTCGAAACATTATAAAGTTTATCTTTTGAATATTTAAATAAATACGAAATTTCTGAAGTTAAACGTTTAAAGAATCCTCTTTCATCTGCTTGAAAGTATTCTAACATTTCAGGTGTGAGTGCCAAATTACATTGTTCTCTTGTCAATCCACTAGCGCTATTATTGCGAGTACGAGCATACTTTTGTCCATAATAATTAGAAGCGATTCTTTGTAAACTGACGTAATAGCGGTCACATACCTCACGATCTAATGGAGCGGCTGCTTCACCTTTTGCGAAAGCAATTTTTATCTGATCACGAATATGCTGACCTATGTCTCTAAAATAAATATAAATTATTAAATTTTAAATGAAACAGAAAAGCATAAACTGAATATTGCATAACTAATAATTAGTTAATTAAAAAATATATATGGCACACTAACAATATAAATACACTGTAATATTTATGTATCCGAAACACTCGTTCTAACCTTGATCTACATATTTCCATGAAATACTTAAAACTATATTAAATTAACATTGATCTTATTGTGATAAAATTCGATGGACAAAAATAATAGGGCTTTTAATTTAGTACCTGCCAGCTTTCGATTCATCTAGAGGCCAAGATTCTAACAACTTCATATAATTCCTATAAGTGCCGGCCATGTTACTTTATTTCTACTTATACAAAGATAAGACATTGGTTAACTACTTCTAGAAGCTAAAGCGGAATACAGGAAACAAGAATCCTCCACTCACACTACTCGACTGTGTAGATAGGTACATACACGTGATTGACTGAACCAATAGGGTCGTCACTATTTTGCTATAGATATTCAATTAGGTACCAAGTATGTTTACATAATAATTATTCAACTTTACCTCTTTTACCTTTTGAAGTTATGTAAATTTAAATAAAAAACATTTAAATGTATTTAAATAATCTCTTTTAATTATACATTCTACAATGACATATCTACTTTTTAATAAAAGAAATACATTACAGAAATAATATAATATGAGTTTAAATACACACTTGCAAATACATTATTTCTTTGTGTCATCAAATTCAAGTGAAATCCTCTTATTCATTTTGAAGATTCATCTTTGTGTCTGTTTCTCTAGAACAGTAAGAGTGTATTTTACATATAATAACATAAATAAATAATTGTTTTTAATTGTTTAATTAAAACTTACATAACTAGAAAGTTGTACATTCTTCAATGATTGTGCCTCATTTATATTTTTTATTCCACTTACAAAGTAAGATACATCATTTTTTGTTTGTAAATTTGTATCATTGTACTGATTATTATTAGAGTATAAAATCATATTGTCTTGTTTATGAGAAGAAATAGTCACTACATCTGTAGGAATGTCTCCAGATTTCTCAGTATTCCATACTTCAAGCAATGTTTCAGAATTATAAAATGGATATACTGTATAAATAAATGACCATGGATGTTGATCAGAATATTCATAACTTTTTTCTTCACTCAATACTTGCGATGCAAAAATATTTAAACATAATAATTCCTAGATAAAACAATATTTTATCAATAAAAATATATTGTAACAGTATTATTATGATAATAAATTTATATATATGCAAAACAGAACTTACAAGTAATAGAAAATGCATTTTGCTGCTGCACACCAATACTGGCTGCCACTTGACAGAAGTTGTTCATTTTATACCACCTCTGCCATCTTAAATACTCGTATAAATCATATTAACGAGATTACACATATTATATTTCGAGACTTGAATGTTACATTCCAAGATTATACCATTAAAGCCACTTAAAACTTACAGAAGTAAGTGTAATATGATGTGTATAAAAAAGACATTTAATAACTATATTAAGTACAATAATTTATAAAATTTTTTTATTTAAGAATATACATAAAATTTACATATAATTATAAATAAGTACTCTGATTAGAAGTTTTATCTTTCAACAGTCTCTATAGGTATTACATTACAACCCAGAAAGCCATTGCCAGCCCAAGGACGTGGAATTAAAATCAAGGCTAAAATATCAGATCCACGTTTAATTTTTACACCAATTTTCTTATACCTGCTATTTTGTACCAAAGTACCAATATCTTTTAATGATTTAAAGTTTCTAAAATCAATAGAACCAAATTCCAGTATTAAATCGTCAAGTTGAATTCCCTACAAAATTAAATGTTACTCAATATGTAATAAAATTATTTTAGTATTATGATAAATTTGACATATATCTTACTGCAATTTCAGCTGGTGAACCAGGAGATACCAAATTTACCCTAAGAAAAGGCTCTAATTGTACAACATCTTCAATATCATTTATTGTAGCTGTACTAGAACTTTCAGCTTGATTTCCTGCTAATGCGTGCACTTTGTGCAAACCCTCCTCTATTTTAGCCATCAAAGCTTTATGATCATTTCTAAAACCTAATTGATTAACAATATATTCATAAGTTCAAGTTATTTAAGTTTTATATGAGAAAATTATATAATAAACATACATATTATTTTATGTCTAGCGTGTCTGACTTGATAAACATCAATATCTTGCCTTGGATATCCTTCAGAGTCAACCAATGGTTCATCCATTCCAACATGATTCTAAAATTAACATAAATAATGAATTATCGCATATCCAAAAAATTAACAGGTCATGGTATTTACAAAATAAATCATAATTATTTCGATGACACGGTTAAGTGTGTATTCAGTATAATTCTATAGTATTTCTACATACGTACCGAATCTAAAATTTTTTTTAAATCTTTTAATTCGGCTTCAATTTTGTCCTTATCCTTCATAAGCTCAAGAACGTAATTTTTAGCTTCCTGCAACTCCATATCGACCACCATTTTTGCTTTCAGTGACGTAGTAATAAACCGTCAGGAACGTACATAGTTAGGGAATATAATAACAAAACAAAAGCATGTTTAAAAATTAAATATGAAAATATTTATTTAATAAAATTATTTATTTTTAATATAAAATATTTATTTAATAAAATTATTTATTTTTAATATAAAATATTTATTTAATAAAATTATTTATTTTTAATATAAAATATTTATTTAATAAAATTATTTATTTTTAATAAATATTTTTAGAGCATTCAATAATTTAAGACATTTGAAACCTTAAAAATAGCGTTTTTAAATACCGTGCTTCATATACAACTGTTTGTTTTCCTTGTGGAGTCATAGAAAGCATGTCATGCATATCGAAAGGCTGTTCCACCACCGTAATTACATCTCTTCCATAAACTAAAAATAAAAACTTGTATATAATTCCATGAACATGATACTTCTTAACAAAAACACATCCGTACCTTCGCAATGTTCTAAGAATTGTATACATTCTTGAAGCGTTGAATCTTTTAAAACTACCAGTTGTTTTGCTAGTTGTTCCAAAAGGGAGAGGAAACATCTCTTCGCGTAGAACCAAGTATCGGTTCCTAATTTTTTATTGTATGGTTCTAAACTTTTCATTACTCTGGTTATACCAAACTCATAATTTCCTTTAGAACAATACAATGTTCCTATTACTAAATTTACAATACATAAGTGAAATAATTTTTTATCTTGATCTTCTCGCGAAATTGCTTGCTCTTCTTTTTCTATCTTTTTCATTAGACCTTCTGCTTCTGCATTTTGAGATGTCATAATATAACTTACACATAAATTAGCGAGTACTATAGCACTTACATCCAAAATCTGAAATTTCAGAAACTTAATTATTAATATATCAAATAATATATTTCAAAAACTGAAAATCGATATAGGAACTGACATTATCATATTTTTTCCTCACAATGGGCTCATAAAATCCCGTTGCTTCTTTAAATTTGTTCTCTTGCATAAATAACGTGTGAGCTACATTTAACTTCCATATATCATGCTCATTGCAAAATTCTACACTTTTTCGAAAAATTTTTTCAACCTGCATATAATTTCCAAGTTCCCAATAAATTTTGGCCTGAGCCATTAAGACAGGTACATATCGTTCCAAAGCTTCTTCATAATCAGTTACTGCTTTTTTAACAGCATTATCATCGTGATTCATTCTTGCCTCCTGAACCCGCTTTGTTGCTTTTCTTAATATCTCCATATGTTTATTTCCAAGATCATCAAATTTACGATATGCTTCTTCTGGCGAAGTTTGTTGCGTAATTAATGCATCCAAAAAATCATATAAATACTGAAAATGATTTAATATTTGATACTACTACTTATGTGTAACAGTGTTAGTATAAAGAGTATCCATATGTCATCTTCAATTCTTTTCCACCCCCAAAGTATTCGTGCTTGTTACAGTCCTGTACTTAAACAACTAGGTATTCTTAACCTTTGCGTTATGTTTTCTTGACGCTGATTTATATTTTAACATTGATTATTGTTTCAATACAATAAAACAATCATACAGATTACAAGCAAACATGTTTTTGTAAATTACTTAAAAATGGTCAATTGCAAATTAAATCAAATATTTCTTGGAGAAATTGCATCTGTACAAAATTATGGTGCTTTCATTAGAATTCCTGGTTGTGCATTGCAGGGATTAATACACAAATCACAGGTAAAGGAATAATGTGTTTATAAAAAAATAGTACATTTCTTATACGTATTGTAATATGAATGTGAAATATAAATAATTTATATTAATATAACTTTGTTAGGTAAGCTCTACTCGTGTCGACAATGTTACAGAGGTTTTGCAAAGGGGAGAACGCGTGTGGTGTAAAATCATTTCTGTCGGAGATGATGGTAAAATAGGGTTATCTATGAAATATGTAAATCAAGGGAATGGTACAGACTTAGATCCTAATGGGATAGAATTACAAAGAGATTCTCAGAAAAAGAAAGTTGTTGGCAAATATGAACGTAAAGCGATACATTTAGAAGCAGTTCTTAATACGACATGTGCAAAATGTGGAACAGCTGGTCATTTATCTAATGATTGTTTTATGTCTCCCGATGGGAAGAAATATGAATTGATTCCAGAAATCGAAGAGGAAGTTGTTCAACAACCAATCGAAGAAACTGAAAAGGATAAAAAGCATAAACAAAAAAAGGTAAAGAGAAAACATAAACTTAAGAAAAGTAAGCAAAACACAGATAATAGTGATTCAGATGAGAAAGAAGTCACAAAGAAGAAGAAGAAGAAACATTCCAAAGATCAAAAAAGAAAGAAGAAAAGGAAACACGATAGTTCCTTTAGTGATGAAAATTCAAGTGACAGTTCTTCTAGTCATAATGTAAAAGCTCATAAACGAAAACGTTCAGAAAGTTCGGAAAAACGTACAAAAAAATGTAAACACTCAAAGAGTAAATATCCAGATCGATGAGATACAATATAAAACCTACAAAATTGAAGACTACTTTGTATGTACTTTTTACAATTCCTTCGATCACTGAAATATTTGTAGTATGCGAATTGTGACTGATACACTTGTAATACATATAATATTGCGATAATAAAAATCATACTTACCGGGGTTAAATATTTATAGGTCAGGTGTACGTTTTCAGCTAGGACATCAGCTGCTAAATCATAATATTGATATTTACAATACAATAACAATAAATTAGCAAACGTTTCAGGTGGAAATGGATTTTGTTGTAGTAAAAATTGGAGTTTTTCAAATCCCTCGCTTGGCTTTGTGTCCATATTTATCAAAGCTTGATTATGCAAAGTAACCGCATCAAGTTCCTCTTCAGATCTTGGAGGCATATCTGTTAACGCTTCTTTTGCTGCTTCGTCTAGACACACCAAATGAGATTTACCGGAAATAAGAAGTAGATTAAGTAATAAAGATTTTTTGTATATAATTACAATTTTGCAATTGATATTCTATTGCAGCCTTTAAGTTAAATGCTTCTGTTAAAGCTGTTTCATGCAATGTTAATGTATTTCCAACACTACGGACTTCTATACCATCTGTAGTCATTCCTACTCCCAATTCTGGGTGTTCCTTTATCCCTTGTTCAATAATATCAGCTAATATAATATATAATAAATGTTACATTATCATAATTAATTAAACTCAATTAATAATAATATTACAAATGTTACCAATATATTTCAATGATGGAGCATATTCTTTCAATTTAAAATAACAAAGTGCTACATTATATGATAAACGAGGTTTAAAACCTGCGATTTGTAATGCATTTGTAAATTTTTTTAAAGCTTGTTCATACTGTTCTTCCTAAAATAATGATAAAAGATAAAACATATGTATAGCTTGTGTAATCTCTTCTAAAAAAATTTCTATTTTTTTTTGTAATACCTTATATAAAAGACACCCTAAATTAATTTCTGTATCAATATCATCCATTGGACATTGGTCAACAAGACTTTTTGCAACAACCATATCTTCTTGACCATATTTTATAGCTGCCTGTAGTTTTTTTACTTTAGATTCTAAATTATTATGATTAATAATATTGGAACATATTGTCCAAGCCTCTTGATACATACATGCTTGATGCAAAGATTGAGCATGATATAATTTATATATGTTTTCATCTGGACACAATTGAATTAATTTTTCGTAACACTGAGCAGAAGCTATAAAGTCTTGTGTGTAAAAGTAACAATATGCAAGTAGAGACAAACAGGGTCTAGACTGTAAAATAAATTACTAGCTACATAAAATTATTTATCATTAAGGAAAATATATTATTTTGTATGATCTTACTTACAGAGGTATAAGAATCAAGAAGTGTTAACAACTTTATCGTTTCTATATATCTTTGTTCTTTAATCTGAAAAACAGATATTTACAACTTTGAACCATTATTTGGTAGTTTAAAACTTATTCTAAACATTTATTATTTTTAGATATATTCGTTTAAAGAAAAAAATAATTAAAAACTGCTTTTTTTATTTCTGGAGATTTAGAAAGAATTTACCATTGTATAAATTGTTTTTGTATATTCCCCGTCTTTTATATGCACATTTTCTATGAAAGTACTCATGTTTGTTTTTAATATTGTTTTCTTATTTTCAAAGTGATAATAACTGCACGTTTCACTGGATTTTCATTATTTAACTACTCAACTATCCGACGCACAATGTTTTGATAAAACATACATGTCGTAACTATGGAAACAAATGTTTCATTTACATATAAAAGTATAATACATATTATAACGATATATTATTGCTTCGCTAACAAAACACAGGAAAAATACAATTTTAATATAAAACAACTTAAATAAAAAACCATCTTTCGATATGTGATATACGTATATAACAATATCAGAAATGTGTACAAGAAAAAAATTACTTGTACAGTTTACATAATTTAGTGATTCATGACTTATGAAAGTATTTAATACTGAACAGAATACATTATGTGACTAATTATATTTACTTATGAAATGTAACTTTATTCATATATACATGTGTCACATCATAAAGCATGAAATGTGAAGTACCATTTTGTTATACGAAACATTTTTACCAACAGGGTGCATTTCATAATGTAACAATGAAACGTTTCATGACCTATCACAAAGGTAATCGAAGGCTGCTTTCGTGAACTCTGTATAAACGTACCGAATCCATGTTGGGTAGCAAAAAGTAAGATATATACAATGGAGTGGCGCTGCTTTAAAGAAGACGAACATGTAAAATAGTATATGACACATAACTTTTAAATGACTTTTCGAAAAATCTGGTGGAGTGTAATTAAATGGTAACAGACGACCATATAGGATTACGTGCAATCGTAATAGGTAGTAATGGATATTAAAGATCAATGTTTTGATCATCGTTGCGCCAATAGGTGTGTTTTGCAGATTCGATAATACATATATAGTATGTAAACCAACGTTTGTAGTATAAGCAAAAGAGTGCGGTGTTCCGATAGCGCGGTAGTGTCGTACGCAGATCAAGTGCGTGTGTGACTTCCCTGCTTGGAGAAATGTCGTCGGCATTCGTGGCCGCGAAATAAACGACGAAACATGTCCGGACCGACAGTCAGTCGTGCGCAGACACCCGGCGGTGATGTTCAAATAGGTGCAACGGTGATCTGCGTAGTTTGTAACAGGACTGACAAGCTATTAAAGTGTTCGCGGTGCAAGGCCGTCTTCTATTGCACTAAAGAACACCAAAGGCGGGATTGGAAACGTCATAAAGAATTTTGCGCGACTCATTCCGTGCGATCGATTCTACCCCATACTATTTCAACTGCGAGTAAAAATTTCGTTTCGGAGTCTGACAAAACGAAATCCCCCCTCGAAAATAACCAAAAGGCAAATACACCAGCAATTTCTAACCTAAGTGAAAAACCAGTGTCAGAAACAACGCAGGGATCGAACGCTGCTCCAGAAGTGTACCCTAACGCGAAACACCTTGGTGGTACGTAAAATTCGGTCTTCTTAGTTTCCTCACATTTCTTGACGATTCGTTTTAGTACTTTAAATTTCATTGTTGTTCATTCTACGTGAAACAAGTATTTACTTTTAAAGAAGAATTTGAGTTGAAGGAAATATTTCTTCCTAGTAATAAATTCTTTTGTTTCAATTAAATTATGGCAATGACAATCTTAAAGCAACATCATTATGGTTTACAAAATACATGAAAATGCTTTAGAAAATTGATTACTTGCATTGAATCTTACAGTTATTTAAATAATTCTTGTAATTGTTAATACCGTTTTTAAAAATAAAGTACAATGTTATAACGATGTATAAACTATACACAAAGTGTAATATCAATAAATAATAATTTTGATTACATTATTCATAGGAACTACCAAACATACAGAAGAAGTAAAAGTATCCTTGGATCATAAAGAGGGTCAAAATCCAAAGAGGAAGTCTAATAGTACTAAAGCGAAAGGTACTCGTAACAACAGAGCAGATGGATGGACTTCTCCTATAACATATGAAGGAAGTTCTGAAGATACAATCCTTGGTGCCAGAGCAGAATTGTTAAATCCTGTTCTTGAAAATTCAAGAATTCTTGATCATCTACAGGATAATGAATTAGACATGCCTACACAACATCATAACGGTATGAAGAACTTCCCAGAGGTTCACTTGGCTCGCGAGGAGGAACTTTTACCACCTTTCCTTCATAAAAATAGAAATAACTTGGAAGAATTCCATTTAAATGAGATTTGCAGAAATGTGATTAAAGACATGGATGAGTATGGTGTGTGCGTGGTGGACAATTTTTTAGGCGCAGAAAAAGGTCTTGCTGTATTAAATGAAGTTTTAAATATGTATAGTGCTGGATTATTTAAGGATGGACAGTTGGTTTCTAATAAAGCAGGTGCAAACGATTTAAAAACAATTCGTGGTGATCAAATAACGTGGTTAGATGGAAAAGAAAAACAATGTCAAAACATTGGAATGCTCATATCGCAAGTTGATGCCATCATTATGAGAGCAAATAAAATGCGAAACAATGGAAAAATGGGAAACTATACCATCAATGGTAGAACAAAGGTAAGGAAAAACATATTGTAGCCAAATTTTTTATATTAAATAATACTGTTTCATATTATAAATGGTAAGAACATGTAGGAGTCTCTTATAACTTGTCATTCTATATTAAACAAACTGACGATACAAAAGTCCATGTCTGCTATATTTAGTTTACAAACAAATACATATGATCAGAATTTTACTGACAAGTTCTACATTGTGCACATTTTAAACAAATATGATCTTTTTTAATTTTATGTACTTAATTTTGACTGTACATTTTGTTATAAACAATATCTGTTATAAACTTAATCGTATTTAGAATAATAAATTTGCTTTGTGCATACGTCGGTTATGCGTAAAATGTCGATTAATTGAACGCATAAACGAATACATCCACTAATTAATTTCCAGAACGTTTTGGCAAGGCCAAACGTAGTTCTTTCTCAAACGTAGTCCGTGATATCGAATATCACGTATAAAATTAGACCCTCGATTTCAAACGCGCACACGAAATTTTAAATTGCATTAGTCAAGGAGCAGTTGGGTGTGCTTCAAAGGTTGCTGAAAATTGACATTTTTTAAAATATAATGTTTTTAATTGCACAAATCGTACAGTGCACATATATAATCTAATAAAAATATTACATAAATATCGGCCATTCAAAAAACTCGATCCAAATTCTGATCTATCAAATTGAAAGTTGTCTGCTTCTAGAAAGCACGTTATGTAAACAAATATCAACCGTATAGTAAGACGTAAGAAAAATTATGTAAAATCAAATGTGTAAGAAGAAAAACACGAGTACAAATTGTTCGTATAGTTTACTGACGGAAACAAACCATTGTTTTCCGTAATGTTTGCCGTAATCAGATTAGTCATTGGTGAATGCAGTAAGTCTGCCACGTTTTCCCGTTTTGTCATAAAACGATAAACAATAAATGATATCATACCGGTATCGGTAAAAAAGACCGTCGGGTTCTCGTTTAAATATCGACATTCAATCTCCCGCAGGCGTCGAAACAAGAGAGAGGTGGGAAGAGATAGTGGTAGACTGAGAAGGTCAGGATCCCGAAATTGCAACGATCTTTTGGGTAGCTCGGGCGTCAAGTGACGAGAGTGGGCACATACGTAGTGTAGCCGGTCACGTACGCCGTATTGCTAGCTGGCTTCTCGTTATATCTTTATCTCTTTCTCTGTCATTAACTTTCTCTTTCTTCTGTTATCCCAGAAAGCAGCCGATGTTACAATGACTGTTCTTCTCGATTATACGTCTCGTCTTTTGTAAACACTCCTCTATAGCGACTTGACAGGTGAATCGAGGCTGTCTGTCATAGATGCAGATAAGAAAATACCGTCGACTGAAGCTGTGCTTCATGACACATATATTGAATTATTTTCTCAGACCGTTGAAGTTCCTCTCGGGGATGTGGTTTATGCAAAGGTTTCGACATTGAGAATTTAAGGTTATCTTTGTGTTTTTTGTAATGGAAATATCAGTTCCGAATCAGCCATCTTGAGATAATGGCACGGACATTGTTGTCGTTTTCAGAACGTATTTAAAGTCGCTTCAACGCTATGCGACAATGTATTGAACAAATTTAGAGCGATTGTTATAAAAGATAGTAAGAATATTAATAATTATAAACATTATTATTCTGCATTTATAAAAAATTATTCTAAAAAATTTCTTACTTTCTGGTCAGTTGTATCAACTAGGACAGCTTAGTCAGTGCTCTTCATATAACACATTTGTAAAATTTCTTTGTTTATACAAATATACATTAAATAACTCGTATGTAATACATTATTTTCAAAGATCCAATTAAGACACTATGTATAAAATGACATCATCTTTTTATAATCATAGGATTTTGATAAGAAATGTTTCTCATACGCTTATAAAGTAGATACAATTCAATAGAGGGTTAATTCATAGAATACTTCAGACTCATTGTAGTATCTTTTATCAGTAGTGATTCAAACTTACGAGATTGTATTTTAAGATTACACTGTAGAGTGCATTGTGTAAGTACTTGTTTGTACTGGCGAGTTGTTACTACTTCGGACTGTTTTCATTCAACTTATCAAACAGTGACTTTACTAGCAAACGCTAATTCCGTATTCTTGTCAAGCGGAAAATTCGTTGCAAAAGAACGGGAAATCCCAACCGCATCAAATAGTATTTTCTACAAGCTAGAAGTAGAATAAAATATGCACATGCATGATGTACTTTTAAAATGACATAATTTCAGTTTTGTTCCCGATAGATTGGATATGTGAAGGTCATCTTCTCACGGTCGTTAAAATTTCTTAATACAGAATTTCGCGAAGTTATAATTGAAACGTTTAATAATTTTAAAAAATCCTCGGATTGAGATCGTCCACTATTATTTAGGTAAATTATATTTTTTAATTGCATATTCTATTCTTGAGATTAAAACTTCATTATAGTAGTTAAACAGTTAACATTAATTCAGTACAACAATTTTTTTGATAATACTATGTAGTTATACAGCACAGATAATACAACTTGGGTATCTTATACACCGAAACTACTTAACAAATTCAAATTTATTTACATGGTATTAGCTCAATTTCAAAGACCTTTATGAGAAAATTATATCACAGACAAATTTACAAAAGACTTGCAAAAAATATGTCATCATTAATGTGTAGGATTTCTTAAATCAACATACTAAAGAAAGAATAAACTTGATCTATTCTGGAAGTCATGCAAATGTCCGATTGATGTCGACCACTTCGTATGAAATTCTTATTAATAAATCCTTTGTGCCGGGTCAGTTGTTTTCGAGGAAATCCTTAGAAGCAGCCCGTTGCGCCTCCCTGTTTAACCTTGTTCAAGGTGAACGAATCGACGAGGTGCGATCTATATGTACATATGCATCCGTGCATATAGTTAAATACATGATGAGAGCGTGCCAATCGTCTGGGTACGGTCCCGTTCTTCTTCATCTGTTTCCACGAGGATATTTATCGTTGCCTGTTCTCACTTTCCGATCATTTCAGAATACCCTTTGTAAAATTTGTAATGGTAATAGCTCCGTGTCAACGGTGTTCGATTTGCAAGAACAATGTTAAAAGAGTTGAACCGAAGGGGGAGAAAGAAGTTTTTAAAATTTTTAGACGTTTTCTTTTTCTTACTTTTTTTTTGGAATTTGCGTGACTCTCTTAGTAGATGTATTTCTCGTATTTTATTCTATAAATTGGTTTCGGATTGAATATTACGATTTTTTTCTACTTTTTTAAGTGTACTGACTTAGTCGTTCCAACATTGAACCTCCACAATACATAGTTACCTTGTTAACAATGTTAAAACCAAAAACATATTTTTGCAAAGTTTACTTTGCAGAAGAACAAGAAAGTTGCAAATATTGACATGAAACTTCATAGAAACTATTTTACAATGTATCGGCATTGCATTAGTGGAAAATATCATATTTCCTCAGAATGTTAATGTTAACGAATATTTTTTTCATAACTTATGCACCGCATGCCTATGTGTAGTTAGTTAGAACAGAAAAGTACGCTTTATTACGAAACACAACCAGTGCTCGTTAGAAATATTGTGAACTATTATTTTGTGCAAAGGCATCGATCACTTTCGTACTTTTTCTGGTCATGTTTTCTTGGAAAAATGTCAAGTAAAATTAATACTAATTGAAACGCAGAAAATACAGCTACCGACCTATAGGTGTGTGTAGGCAATCGTACTGGAGCTGACTCATGTTTCGCAAATTTTGCACGTCTTTTTCACGTTTATAGTAAATTTAGCGTAGATAACGATGTCTCCCCCGTCTGCCCTTGAAAACGTTTTCAGAAAGGAAATCATTTATTATTTACGCGCCACGACTTTTGCGCGGGAACGGTATCACGTAGCTAAGCTTATAAACTGTTCCTAAGATAACGAAGTTTACAGTCGGAGCTTAATAGTACAACGAAAAATACAGCGAGCTTGATTGGTAATTCGTGAAACAGAAACAGTTTGTTATATTTAAAATTCAACGCGCGTGTAGTGCATTTTCCTTGGCGGTTCTATGAACTGTGTACATCACTTTTAACGGATGGTTTTTCTGAGAAAATGTTTCGCGTAACGTTGTGCGTTTTATTGTACCTACGAGCGTCATGTTTTTGTTTTCTTATTTCAGTCTCTTGTGTTGATGCATGATCTCATTGCAAAGATGTTCTGCACATTATATAGAAACTGTTTTTGTTTTGGAAGTTCTTTATTGGAAACCATAAATAATATTGCATAGAGTTTCTTTAATAAAAAGGGGAAAACTTAAAAAATATTTTAAGAGCGTAATAGATGGAATTCGAGGTTCTATAGATTAAACATTAATTATGTTGTGTTTGCATTCATTCGTTTAGATAATATAGCCTTTAGTTATAGAAAACGATAGTAGAAAAATTGGTCGAATGTTTAAGAAGAAATAATTTTTTAAAAAGTGCAGTGACAATAATACAATACAGTTGTGGATGTATCGGTCAAAATGGGCAAAATTTTATTTGAGTAACTGGTAAATTTAACTTTATATTCGAAGTACAATGTTCCCCGTAATTTCACGCTTTGACGATCTCCTTAGCGTCTCATTTCGAGAAAGAGGAATTGTAATGAGTGAGGGAAGTAATGAGCCCGAGATGACATTATAAAGAAAATTGCATTTGTATTGACTGCAGTGACTTCTTGGACTTCAACACTGTATATATTTTTATTCGAAAAAATAGAATAATTTTCTGCCAGTAACATGTAATTATTATCAAAATGAAATACTTCTTTCGTAAAAACATAAAAATATTCAAGATTATTTAAGGTTATAAATCTATAATATTAGCATACAATTGTAACTAAAAATGAATTGCGTTGATAATTTTCAAAGAAATATTAAATTGTTAATGGTTAATGATGTATGTCAACATTACTGTATCATTTATACTATTTCTGACCTTGATTGACCTTGTGATATAAATTATTGATTGTGAACATTTATTTTTGTTT